CTACAAACAAAAAGAAGGAAAAGACTGTGTAGTTATAGAACTTGGATTGGATAAGAAAACAAAACTCATCAATATGCAGAAAATAACAAATGCTGGCGAGGTTGTGGAGAGATTGGGACTCTCCTACACTGCTGGTGGGACTGTAAAATGGTACAACCATTGTGGAAAGCAGTATGGTTGATTCCTTCAAAAGTTGGAATTAGAAATAACATTTGATTCAGCCATTCCATTACTAGGTATATATCCTAAAGAAGTGAGAGTCATGACAAGAGCCAATATATGCACACCTATGTTCATCACAGCACTATTTACAGTAGCCAAAAGATAGAAACAACCTAGGTGTCCATCAACTGAGGAATAGATCACTAAACTTTGGTACATATACACAAAGGAATACTATGCAACCCTAAAGAATAACATAGAATCTGCAAAACACCTCATAACATGGATGAACTTGGAGGACATTATGCTGAGTGAAATAAGTCAACCACAGAAGGACAAACATTAGTTCATTATTGTAAAAAGTCAAGGGAAGGTTTAGATATGGAAGGAAATTTTCTTAGTTGGTTACCAGGGGTGGGAAGGGAGGGTAGGGAACACTGTTAGATAGGTAGAGATAAGTATTGATTTGGGTGAAGGGAAGGGCAATGTACCAAATGTGAGTGATCAACATGGTGTTGTTGAGGAAGAGGAAGACAGAGAAAGGTGCATGGGAGGTACAGACAACAAAGATGAACCCTTTTGCGCATATAGTACTGTGTTGTCAGTGCAGACAAACATGGGTATATGGGTGGATAGACAGGTTGACAGGCTGAAGTGTTAGGTATATCTATGCAGGGGGTAGTGTACCCAAGACCATGTATAGGGTTGGCAGACAATGGTCTTATAAGTGTGTTTGTATGATGTGTATTTGTATAAGTGTATTTGTAAGAATTCCCTGGTGTGTAATAGAGCTGACAAAGGACAAGATTGTAGTCACTTCTTGGTCACAGCCAGCTACCCAGAAGGACCGAGTAGTTGAACTGGTGGGCTTGGGACTAGAGTCGCAGGGGACGTCATCAAGCTCAATTGGCATAACATACTACACAAAACACTGTTCCACCTCCTAATTTGGTGAGTAGCAACTGTGATCTTAAAAGCTTGTAAGCAGCCATCTATATACAATGAAGGGTCTCTCCTCATCCAGAGCAAAGAATGAAGAAAAACAAAGACACATGGAAACAACTAGTCCAGGTGACTGGTACATCCTGCAGTCCTCAGCCTATGTGACTATGAGACCAGAAGAACTAGATGGTGCCTGGCTAGCACTGTCAACCACTCTGAGGGAGATCTTGGATAGAATAGGAGAACAATGTGGAACAAAACTCAAAATCACTTGGAAAAGAAAAGAGGGAGTCAAGTTTCCTGGTCTGATAGAGCTTGGTGGAACCACTGAGACTATGGCCCCTAGCTGCCCTTCAGGTCTAGAATTTAACCCATACCTGTGGCTCCCAGCCAAACAAAAGAGAGGCATATGAGTTGAACATCTACCTGAGGTTGATATACTCCTTGGAAAGAACAATCATGGGAGAAAGAAGGGCTGTTTATGTGGGAGACAGCTCAGGGATCAGGAGTGCCTGGAGGGATGGACACAGGGAAGAGGAAACTATCAGGAGAAAGTGGGAGGGGAACTGTTGCATGGGGGTAAATTGTAGTCAATGTCATGAGACAAAGTGTATGTAAACTGCTGTATGGAAAGTGAATTTGCTCTGTAAATTTTCACCCAAATCACAATTAAAAAAAAAAAAAAAAAGGTACTTAAATTCCTGTATCTGTCAGGGTTCTCCAGAGAAATAGAACCAATCAGATATACTGATATTTTTATAGGAGCTCTGGTTGTGTAGTGATTAAGGCATTAGGTTGCTAACCAAAATGTAGATAGTTTGAACCCATCAGCCCATCTAAGGAAGAAAGATGAGGCAGTCTGTTTCCATAAAGATTTACAGCCTTGGAAACCCAGTAGGGATCACTATGTGCTGGAATTGACTCTATGACAGTGAGTTTTGAGTTTTGAGTTGTGTATATATACATAATTTCAGTGAATGAGCTCACATCACTGTGCAGACTGACAAGTCCAAAATAGAAACCCAGCAGGAGTTCTATATTATAGCACTGAAGTGAAATTCTTTCTTTGGGAAACTTCAGTTTTTGTTCTTAAAAGACTTCACCAGATTGGTTGAGGCTCACCACAATTATCCAGAGTAATCTCCTTGATTTAAAGTTTGTTGGTTATAAATGCTAATCACATCAACAAAATACCTTCACAACACCATCTAAACTAGTGTTTGACCAAATAACTGGGCACCATAGTCCAGCCAAAATGACATATAAAGTTAATTATTACAATTATATAATATTATGTAAAACAAATATAGATATTAAATAATATTATGTAATTATAATAATTAACTTTATGTGTCATTTTGATTAGATCATGGTGCCCAGTTACTTGGTCAAACACAAGTCTAGATGGTGCTATGAAGGTATTTTGTTGATGTGAATAGCATTTATAATCAATGAACTTTAAATTTTGGAGCTCTGGTACTGTAGTGCCTAAGGCATATGACTGCTCACCAGAGGGCTGGTCATTCAAAGCCACCATCCACTCCTCAGAAGGAAGACTGGGCAATCTACTTCCATAGAGATATTACCTCAGAAACCCAAGGAGGGGTTGCTATGAGTCAAATCTACTAGATGGCAATGAATTTGATTTTTTTTAGAAAAAACCTGTGTTTTGATTTATCAAGTTCTCTTCAAGTTTTTCGACCCTACAATATAGGCAGTCACCTTCACTATAATATGATCTTTGAATATAATACAACCTTTATTAGAATATAATGTTTATTATAATATTTTTATATTCTTTGAATCCATTTTGATTTTGTATGATAAAAATCATGATAAATGCTTATAAGTTATTAAAGGTAGGCATTTTGCTGAAAGTGATCACAAAAAAAATAAATAAATAACCTCTCAGAGACAGTGAATATTACCTTCATTGAAAGACAGAAATATGTAACATTTAATTATCTAAGGAAATAATAACTATAAAGTATAATGTTAGATTAAAAAAATTGATAGAAAAAAGTATATCTCACCATTACTTCTCTGTGTAAATGTAGATTTCTTAAGGAGCACTAGGATATAGTATGTTTTGTTTTCTTTGTTTTGATAAATTTTTCTGTTTAGAAAAATGACTAGAACTTGGTATAGTTGTTGGTGACAGGATTAATTCTATTTTTGTTTTCATGTTCAAGCTATTAGCTTTTGTGCTTTTAAAAGTTATAGTTTTTATGTTACATAATCCAGAAGAATTTTTCTTCTGGTAAACATATTAAATATTTTCTACACATTACTTTGATCTCTGAAATGACTTATGTACTTTCTTATGCATCTGTTGTGAGGTTCCTTTTTTCTCCAGTAATGTAATCTATGAAGGAGTTCTGGTGATGCAGTGGTTAAGGCATTTGGCTGCTAACCAAAATGTTAGTGGTTCAAACCTACCAGCCACTTTGTGTAAGAAAGATGGGGCAGTCTGCTTCCACAAAGATTTATAGCCTTGGAAACCCAACAAGAGTCTCTATAAGTCAGACTTGACTCAGTGGCAGTGTGTTTATTTTTGGTTTAAAGCAACCTGTCTCTAACATAAACATTTTTTTTTTTTTAATCAATGAGAAGTTCTAGTTTCACATCTCCTCCAGCTTATTAGATCCTAAAGTTGTTACAGTTTCTATCATGTCCAATTTGGTATATAGAAATTGATACGATAAAACCAAACAAAGATCCAATTAATGAAAGAACATATTACATTCATGGGCTCACTTTATAACCCATAATCCTTGCACATGGAAAATACTGTACCAAACTATTATCACATTGCAGAAACCTGTTCTTTAATTATCCAATAATTACCATATTTTCACATAAATGATATATATATTATACAATTTTTGCAAGCTGTGTAACTCACTCACACATTAGTCTCTTCTATGTTCTGTGTGCATGTGTGTTGTTTATGTAAGCACGTTATATGCAGAGAGCAGTGCAGTGAATGCCCATACACCTTTTACATCTAAATCATAAAGAGCTACTTTTGTTTTTCCAATTATTAGGTGTACACTATTGAAGAATCTGGGCTCAACATTCTGGTGTGGTCAGTGATTGGAAATAAAAGAACTGGGTGGACGTATGGATATGTACCCCTCTCCAGTAACACCCCATTTAAGGTGGCATTTGAAGCTGATTTGGGTGGAGAAAAGGATATTTTTATTGCCCTTGATGACATCTCTTTCACCCCAGAATGTGAACATGGAGGTAAGTGATTACTTAAGAAAAAAAGGCAAGTACTATTTTTAATATCTTAATAGAGAAGAATTGGGAGTATGTGAAGAATTGAGTTTTTTCCAGGTTCAGTCCTGGAAATTGAAGAAAGAACAGTATATGGCATAGAGGGTAACAGGAAAGCCCTCTGCACACGGAGATTTCCCAGGAAAATTATCATATCCTCCAGGCAGCAAAATAACTTTGCTGAAGTTCTTTCTGAAACTCTGAGGAAAATTGTCTATTACTCTATTTTTATTAACTACTATCTTTATGCCTAAATGTTCACAGTAACTGTAGAAGTTAAAAGCTCCTGGTCACTAATCATCTTGCAATCAGTGTTCTTTCATTCATTCTAGCCTTTCCTCTTCCTTGAGCCATTTCCCTCCATGTTACTGCTTCTCCTGTGCCCTTAGGAATCCTCATTGCATTGAAAAAATCTGAAATTCTGTCATTAACCCCTCATCTAAAAAAGCATCTCCTTATGTGAAATCTGAGTCTTTCTTGTTTAAGGTGCATCCACTTAAATGGTTGTTATTCTCTTAAAGTCTTTAAATTTAGTGTTAAATACTACGAAGACTGGCTTTCTAGCTTCTCTAAACCTCTTTCAGTATTTTGTTTTTACAGATTTTTTCAAATGTTTCTTCTCCTTTAAGATCACATGTCTGAATTCTTACCCTTTTCATGATTTTTGTCTGGATTCTTAATCTTCCCTTCATCTTGGGCAATATTCACTTTCAGATGACTCAGCTCATGTAAAATATTCACCTCTTCAATTCTAATCACCTTCATAGATACTCTTCCTCAGAGGCTAACTCTAATGGTTACCCTCTAGACCTTATCAGCCTCTCTGAAATCTTAGAGTTGAAAATCTCATCTGATTGATTGTCATATCTTCTATTTCTTGATTATTCTTCCCAAACCTATTTTCCAAATATCATTAATAAGAAGATAAAATTCTAGATTCTCAGTGTTTCCATTTCATTTTTAAAACAGCTTCTTCTTACTTCTTTTCCTAGTAATCCCATATTTAATAATCTCATTGCTCAATTACATTCTCAATCAGCACTCTAAATTGTACTGTTTTTTTTTTTCCACTTTAACATAAATCTGGTTACTTACTATGCACCAGGCACTGTGCTAAATACATTGCATGTTTTAAAACATTTATTTCTCAGAAAATCTGCCTAGAATAGACAGTAAGCCCATGTTTTGCTATAATGGTTTTATAAATCTCTAAAATTGAGTTAATAAAACCATCTGGATTTTCCAACATTGCCACTGGTCATGCTGATAGGGACCATTCAAAAGTTTAGTTTGCCACTTAAGCCAAACCCTCAAAGGTCCTAAGTACTGTGCTTCCTATTCCCTGCATTTCTTTTCTACCACAGTCCTCAAAAATCCCTGCCCCCATTTGTACTTCCCTCATCCTGCAGTTGTACTTTGAACATAAAATAGAGTCTTTTTGTAATAAACCCCCTTTATTTCTCTTTGTTTCACCTCCAAGTGTTCCTATATGTGCAACTTAACACTTCTTTACCCTGTTTGTTTTAGAAAAAAAACCTTTCATGTTCTCCTTTCATGTTCATAATAATGACCTTTTTCAGTTCCTGTCCAGCATTGTTTCATCAATGTCTTCTCTTTCCTGTATCTCCAGCCTCTCCTTCTATTCATTCTTAGCTCTTTTCTTCAATTCCCTTGCATAAATTAAATAAATAAGTAAACTTCCTCATTTCTCAAAAAAGGAGGTCCAAACTTTGTCCTCTGATTCCAAAGTGTTTCTACACTCATCTCCCTGCAATCTTCTTCATGTACACAGTCCAATTTTCATAATGAACCAAACCAAACCCCCTGTTCCCAGAATATGCTTTTCTCTGCCTCCACCCCAAACTAATAACCACCTTTTATTAGGTTCCTGTTGCTTTAGTACAATTTCCCATGAAGTGCATGCTCTCCAGAAATAGAAATTCAGTCCTTCACACTGTTAGAGGGCAGAAGTTCAAAATCAAGGTGTCAGAAGGGCCACATTCCTTCTAGGGGCCCTAGGGGAAAACAATTTTCTTAGCTCTCCAGCTTACGGTGACTGCCAATGTTCACTGACTTCTGACTGCATCACTCCAAACTCTCCCTCCATGGTCACATTGCCTCTTCCTCTTCTGCGTATGCCTAATCTCCTCTACCTCTCTCTGATAGGGATATTTATGATAACATTTAGGGCCCTTCAGAGACAATGGTGATAGGAAAATGAATATGACCTATTTCCTGCCCTGAAGGAATTCAGAGATGAGATATAATAAATGTACCAGATATAATACATATAAGCACTGTATGATAATGGGTATTAACACTACAACTAATAAACCAAACAAGAAAAAAAAAAAAAAAAAACCCTAATGCTGTTGGGTCAATTCCAACTCAAACCCTATAGAACAGAATAGACTGCCCCTATAGGGTTTCCAGGGCTGTAAATCTTTATGGAAGCAGACTGCCACATCTTTCTCCCATAAAGAAGATAGTGGGTTCGAGCCACGGATTTTTGGTCAGCAGCCAAGTATTTCACCACTGTGCCACCAGGGCTCCTTACTAATAATAATACTGTTGATCAAGCACTAATACATATCACTCTACATAATACATTACATTTGTTTCCGGTATCATTGGCACAATCCTATGAGACTACCAAGCTCATGGTAGAGATAAAGAAACTGAGCATCAGAGAGATAATGTAACTTTCCTGTGTTGGTTGGTTGTACTCAAAACCTTGTTCTGTCCACATTACTGCTACTGAGAAGATATTCACATGATACTATAGAACTGCAGAAAAGGGACACCTAATATTCTGGAGGTTTTAGAAAAGGACTACTAGTAGACTAAGACATGTGACCTGAGATGAATCTTGGAGAACAATTTAAAACTAACTTTTTTTTTTTTTTAATGACACTCTCTCATGCTACCTCTGAATGGTTGATAAACATTAAAAGCTTGGGTCTGAAATTTCATTCCTGGATGAGACTGGCCAAATATTACAAACATTCATACCCAAGGCCTTGTTAAAATAGGCCCATTACTTAGACTGCAGGTGTTAAACAAAGAACTCTTGTATGTGACTTTCACCCTCCCCTCTTCATCCCTTGGCTTTAGGGATGTATACCCACCAGATGCAGAAACAGGAGATGAAGTGGAATGAGTTTTCCCTACAGCCTTGCTGTGCCAGACTACAGAGTTAGTCTTGCAGACAAAGCTCTGAAGATGGATCCAGTCCCAACAGTTATCTCAGAAGAGATCAGAAAACCGTTTCACATTGGCCCCAGTTTCCTGATGTATCATGAAGTCTTTATATTCTGATTCTCTGCTTTATTTTGTCAGGGATAGAAAATAGTCTTACATAATTCAGTTTATCAGTCCTTCTACCTACATTCTATCTCAGGAATCTATTCATCAGCCTTCTTATCTGTCAAGCCATTCCTCCTGTTCTTTGTATTTACTTATAGGAATCTGTAGATTATTTTAAAACTGACTTTCCTATCTGAATTCACATGATACAAGGCACCTTCACTTTTCTTTGTTTTCCTAGCACTGGCATCAGGACCCATTTTCCTACCATGGGACATTATAAGATATCCCTGGACAATGATCATTGTTGCTTCATTAACATTGCCCACTACATTCTTCTGTTTAAAGTAGTCTGTGATGCCAATTAAGAAAAAGCACAAAGTCAAGTAATAACTAATACAAGCATTGAGGTGCATGTACAAGAATGACCATATTTTAAAGTCATAGTATACCATGCATATAATATTCTGTAGAACACAATCCAAGGTATAATTGTTGCCTATATCTGTAGGTAGATATATATTTATATGTGCATATTTCCCACTGAGTTTGAGCTCCTCAAGACCAAGGGAGCTTGTCTATTTCATCTCCAGAGCCTAATATGGTAAGTAGGAAATTTGGGCTATGAAGTGTTACCGCTGTTATAAACAGTAATAATAATAACTGACTGTATGGGCTGCAACATTAGTAGTCACCTAAGTAAAATGGTTCTTTTCTACTATGTTATGGAATTGCCTCTACTATTGAGGATGATAAAAACTAGTGTAATCTTTGGAATTAAAATTTGAACTGTCTTCTCTTTGTAGCTTAATATAATAGAAGTGTCTCCCTGCCCCGTCTAAAGTGCAGCGTCTTTAGACGCTTTGATGGCTGAATCATCCATTCAACCATGTCTTTAGGCATAGTTTCTACAGCAAGCCTTCACTGTTGAAAGAGGCAGATGCTTTACAAGGTCATAAATTAATCCAGCGTTTCTCAAACTTAGGTAAACAGACTCCCATAGCAATGTGACAGGAGGTATATAGAGTGCCATCAAATAAACCTGGTGCAACTGTACTGAGTTTGCAAGAAGATTTAAGGAGAAAAGTTAAATAACTTAATATAGTAAATGACATTTGAAGTAAATTCAAATCTACATACAGTAGAATTTCAAAGATAAAGCATAAAACTTTAAAGTATTTTTGTTCCTTTGACTGTTAACCAGAAGGCTGGTGGTTCAAACCCACCAGCCACTCCTCAGAAGGAAGGTTGGGCAATCTACTTCCATAGAGATACCCCCTTGGAAACCCAAGGAGGAATGGCTATGAGTCAGAATCGACGTGATGACAGTGAGTTTCAGGGTTTTGTTTTTTTTTGTTTTTTTTTTTGGTTTTGAGAGCTAGAACTAGCTCCTTCTCTGTGATTCATGGTGCTATAGTGGAAAAGTTTGAGAAAAAATGAGTGGATGATTCAGCTGACAAAAATTTATGTTGTGTAAATGACAATATTCATAATATATTGCTGAGTATAAAATATGTCACTCATACAAGATATAAACCATGCAAGCATATATTGTTATAAGTGGGAAAATTATACAGAGGATATGAAAGCAATATTAATAAGATATGTATCAAATATCTATCTATAAACACTAGAAGAAATTTTAAGATATACTATTATCT